CCCTCCGGCACCCGGGACCCAGGCCTTCGCTCCAACCGCAGCAGAGAAGCCAAGCCCCTTCAATCTTCAGCGATCTTCAGTCTTCAGTCTTCTCTCTGAGCCTGCATGTGCAAATTAACCGCCAATCCTTGTTGGTTAATTTGCATACTCACCTGATTGGCTGGTGGGCATAAGGGAGTGACACCAATTTGCATGTTTCTCTTTTATTAGTGTAGATAGAGTAAACCCACAGGCACACCCACCCACCCATGTCTGCGCACACAACCCCGCGCCAGGCGCACGAAGCCCCAGGGCGCAGCCCCGCTAACTTCCCTGCTCTCCTGCCCACAGCCATGCCCAGCACCCAGGGGCCCTTCTTCTTCCCCATGGCCCACTTCGTCCTCTTTGTCTTCACGGCCTCCACCATCTTTCACCTTCAGCAGCGGCTAGTGAAGATCCAGCCCCCCTTGGCCGCCCAGAGGCTGGAGCCCGAGGAAACTGAGGACAACGCCTCCAGCGCCCTGAGCGCCCCAAGCGCCCTGAGCACCCCAAGCACCCTGAGCACCTCGAGCTCCACGAGCTCCACGAGCTCCGCGCCCAGGGGCATGTGGACCATCAACGCCATCGGCCGCCTGGGCAACCAGATGGGCGAGTACGCCACGCTGTACGCCCTGGCCAAGATGAACGGGCGGCCGGCCTTCATCCCCGCCGAGATGCACAGCTCGCTGGCGCCCATCTTCAGGATCTCCCTGCCGGTGCTGCACGGCGCCACCGCCAGCAGGATCCCCTGGCACAACTACCACCTCAACGACTGGATGGAGGAGCAGTACCGCCACCTCCCCTGGGAGTACGTGCGCCTCACGGGCTACCCCTGCTCCTGGACCTTCTACCACCACCTGCGCCCCGAGATCCTGCGGGAGTTCACGCTGCACGACCACGTGCGGGAGGCAGCACAGCGGTTCCTCCGGGGCCTGCAGGCCACGCGAGCCCCACAGCTGACCTTCGTGGGCGTCCACGTGCGCCGCGGGGACTACGTCCGCGTCATGCCGCGGGTGTGGAAGGGCGTGCTGGCCGACCGCGGGTACCTGCAGCAGGCCCTGGACCGGTTCCGGGCCCGCCACCCCGCCCCCGTCTTCGTGGTCACCAGCAACGGCATGGCCTGGTGCCGGGAGAACATCGACGCATCCCGGGGGGACGTGGTGTTCGCGGGTGACGGCGTGGAGGGCTCCCCCGCCAAGGACTTCGCACTGCTCACGCAGTGCAACCACACCGTCATGACCATCGGCACCTTCGGGATCTGGGCCGCCTACCTGGCGGGCGGAGAGACCATCTACCTGGCCAACTACACCCTCCCGGACTCGCCCTTCCTCAAAGTCTTCAAGCCAGAGGCTGCCTTCCTGCCCGAGTGGTTCGGGATTGCCGCCGACCTCTCCCCGTTGCTCAAGCCCTGAGACCGGCCTGCCCTGGGCACCCCCTTCTCCTTGTCAGGCTCCCCCAAGACCAGATCCACACCCGAGGAGCACCCCTGTTACATGGACCCGGACCCTTCCCTCTTGCCTCAGAATACCTCCGGCCGCCAGTAGCAGAGTCCCAACAAACTTGTTTATCTTTTTTATTTATTTTTTAAAAAATATATTTTATTGATTTTTTTTACAGAGAGGAAGGGAGAGGGATAGAGAGTTAGAAACATCCATGAGAGAGAAACATCGATCAGCTGCCTCCTGCACACTCCCTACTGGGGATGTGCCCACAACCCAGGTACATGCCCTTGACCGGAATCGAACCTGGGACCCTTCAGTCCGCCGACGCCCTATCCACTGAGCCAAACCGGTCAGGGCCCAACAGACTTGTTTAATTAACATATTCATGTGACCAGACTGGCGCACGCCCAGGGTCAGCAGCTCAACGATGTCACCCCTGCCCCAGTTCTACCCATTATATATATTATTGATTGATTTTAGAGAGAGAGCGGCAGGGAGAGAGAAACATCAAGTTGTTGTTCCACTTATTTATGTATTCATTGGTTGCTTCTTTTTTTAAAAATATATTTTATTGATTTTTTTACAGAGAGGAAGGGAGAGAGATAGTCAGAAACATCGATGAGAGAGAAACATCGATCAGCTGCCTCCTGCACATCTCCCACTGGGGATGTGCCCGCAACCCAGGTACATGCCCTTTGACCGGAATCGAACCCGGGACCCTACAGTCCGCAGGCTGACGCTCCATCCACTGAGCCAAACTGGTTTCGGCGGTTGCTTCTCTTTTTTTTATTTTTTATTGCTTTTGAGAGAGAGAGAAAGGGAGAGGGAGAGAGAGAGAAACATTGATGTGAGAGAGAAGCATTGATCAGCTGCCTCCTGCATGCCCTCCTCCCCTTACCTGGGATGAAGCCCACCGTCCAGGCATGCGTCCTGACCGGAATCAAACCAGCAACCTTTTGGTGCACAGGATGACACCCAACCGACTGAGCCACACCGGCCGGGTCCCAGTTCTGTCCGTCTCATTGAGCTGCTATCATCTCCTCTTAGGCAACTCCCTCACGGTCCCAAGAGGACGGCCACACGCCCAGGACTGTCACAGGCAGACAGCCTCTTCCCCAGGCAGCCAGCACAGGTTCACTCTCGTCCTGGGCCCCTTTGGAAGAGGGAGGAAAACCTCCCAAAGGGAGCCACTCACTGCCCCTCAGTGAGACAGGCCCCTCGCGTCTCGTTGGCCAGGCGTGTGTCACGCGTCCCCTGAGCCGTTACAGGGCCAGATGGATGGAACCCGGGGATTGGCTTACCTTCACCTTGCTCAGACGTGGCCGCGGCCGCCGAGGACTTGAGCTGCCCCTTGAGGGGCATGGCTGCTTGCAGAGAGGACAGGGGCGTGCTCTTACCCAGGAAGAAGGGAGAATGGCTGCCGAGAACAAAACAGGGGGCCCTGAACTGATGTGTCCGTTGTTCACTCCACAAAGGGCTCGGCCAAGAAGACAAGTGGGGCTGGAAGAGAGCCCGCAAGCTGCTCTCCAAGCCGTGCATCCTGGGGCCCATGCCTACCTGGAGGGCCCCCCCCCTTTTTTTTTCTAGTTAGTCCGCCCAGAGGGGGACCTTTCTTCCAGTTTTCACATACAGGCTGGTAGCTGGTGTGCCTCCAGACCAGGCAGCCTCGTGCTCCGGGTGAGTATTTTTGAGAACTCAGAGACCAGCATGGCTCCGTGAGCTGGAGGGGAGTCCATTCATTCTCTCGGTAAACGTTTGTGGCGGTGAACCTACCAGGGCCCCGGCTCCCAGGGGTGCAATAGCAAAACAGAGTGGCCTTCAGTGACGGCCACTTATTATTTCCCACAGTCCCGCGTGCCAGCCGGTGGTCCTCCGCTGCGTGCAGTGTTGGCCGAGGTCTCTCGCGCAGCTGCGTTTACATGGAGTTCAGTTTGGAGCATCCTGGTCTCTGTGTGGCCAGTATAGCGTGGTCTTCCTCACAACACAGCTTTCAGCTTGTTTGCTGGAACGTTCACTCTTGGAGCCATCATCATCATCATCATCATCATCGTCATGTAAGAAATCATGAAGCCGCCATACTGTGAGGAAGCCCTGTGTCACAGAGAGGCCACATGTAGGTGTTCCGGTTCACAGTGTTAGCGGAGCCCAACTTCAGGTCATCTCCCCTTAAGCATCCGAGATGTCAGTGAGACGCCCGTCGACGCTTCCACAGTTGTCCAAATCAACTTACCACTTTCAGTGACCCCGTTGAGGTTCCTGACAGTGTGTTGTAAGGATAAGCCATATCTAAATCCCCGGTTCACAGGTTCTGTGAACATAATATGACTGTTTCCTGCCACTACGTTTTGCGGCAGTGAATATGCAGCCGCAGATAATGGGAACAACCAGAACAAGCTATTCTCTGTCTGCAGATACTTTCGCGACTTTGACATGAATGTGGCCAACATGAACTTCCCCATCTGACTTGAGGTTGCATGTGCAAAGGTCCTGGGGCAGCGGGACGTCTAGTCACACATGGGAGTGAAAGGGGGCCAGTGGCTGGAGCACATGGAGCCAGATGCGGACGGGGACGTTCCCAGGGTCAGACCCTTAAAGACCTGACAAGGACTTTGGGTTTATTCTAGGGCCAAGTGGAATTATCAGAGGGTTTTAATTATGGAAGTGACATGATCTGATTTTCTGTGTGAACATTCCCAGCTTCTACTTGGAGAAGAGGCTGTAGGGTTAAGGCAGGTTAAGGCAAAGAGACCCACGAGAAGGCTCCTGTGGCTTTCCTGCAAGCAGTCACGGTGGACCAGGGAGCTGGTGGTGGAACATGTGACAAGTCTCATGTCAAGGACCTACGAGAGGCTCTCAGGGTCGCTGCCCGTTTCGCTGTCCTGAGAGAGACCATCTGACGGCCTCCCCTGCACTGCTGTTTGAGTCAAGCATCTGCCAGGAGCCCATGAGCAGAGGCCCTGGGGAAGACTCACCTGAAACACACAGGGCAGCCATGTTTCCTTCCAAGAGAAGGCGGTGAAAGAATGTGACGATTGGGAACATGCTCCCAACATGGGAACGCACGCGGGGGGCGGGGGGGGGGGCGGACGTGTGCTGCTCACATTGCCGTGACTGAAGCAGGTCGTGTGGTCACACCCAGCTTCAGAGAGGAACAGCAAGAGTGACCCGGCCACACACCCCACAATATTTATGCACAAGTGACTACCTCACACACCCCCTCACCGGCTGGCACATCTCTCTCGGGGCCTCTTGCTTTCTCCCTTTTTTTCTTCTTTCTTTCCTTCTTCCTTCCTTTCTCTTTCTTTCTTTCTCTCTTTCTTTCTTTCTTCTTTTAAAAAAAAATTGCCTATAGAGAGGAAGGGAGAGATAAAAAGAGAAGAGAGAGAGAGAAACACTGATTTGTTGTTCCACTTACTTATGCATCCATTGGCTGACTGTAAGTGCCCTGACTGGGGATTGAACCGGAAACCTTGGGGGTATTGGATGACGCTCTAACCACCTGGGCTACCTGGCCAGGGCCGGCTGGGCTCC